CGGCGGTCGAATGAGTGAGACGCCCGCCTAGTGAGAGGGAGGTCCTGGTCCAGATTTAAAGCCTGGCTCAGGTAAATTTTTCAATAAATTAAACAATTATAATTATTTAAACAATAACATCCTGTATTAGCTCTTACGTTTTTTATTACTTCGTATTTGTGATTACACATCAGAGTCTTATAAATTTTATTTGTTAAATTTTCTATATTATATTTTTAAATGTAATGGAGGAAGAACTAACAACTCGATTAATATACGTTAGTGTTAATAAAATATTCACTGAAGTTAATTGAACACTTACTACATAGATGAATACAAAGAGATATATGTATATTACATTTGTGTATAATAAAATAGAGGAAATATTACCTGAAAAATTTGTGTACATGCACTGTGTAAGAAATGCAATGTGAATAATTACTCGTCAAAAACACCCGATTGAAGTTTAGCTCTTTTTGCAGATGGATCCATAGTTTGGTTTTCTTGAACTGTTATTCCTGCAGGTGGATACCGTAAGTTGATATATGTATGACTCGATACTCATTTCATCAAAATCATTGTTTGCAGTCATGATTGGAGGCTTCTTCCTGAATTGATAAGTTATATGATTAAGGAGCGGAGACGATGTAGAAATACTCCGTTAAAGACCAACAAACTACCGCTTATAGTGCAGAAACTGTTTTTATTTGAACAATAAGAAGATTAAGAGTGTCTAAACTCACATATTACATAAATTTTTGTTCGATAATTTGGATGTAAACGATTTTCTATAATTACTACAATAATTATTTGGACTAAGACGTACCGGTAGCATCGTGAACACACTCGTACAGCACAAAACTTGCAGTTACATCGCAATAACATTGCTACAATATTACAACATTGCTGTAATGTAGCTGCAATGTAACTGCAAGGTTTGTGCTGTATGGGTAGTACTGGTAAACTGAAGTCGACGGATGTAGTAGAAACTTAATTATCCAGATTTTGTTTACTTAAATTTAAACTATACCGATTTCGATTATCCGGACGTTGGTTTGTTAAGTTAATATCTTATAAAATTATAAAGTTAATAATTTAATTATGTTAGTTGGTTTGTGTGACACTTTATGTTTTCGGTAAAGTTCTTTGTTGTAATTACTATTTCTAATATGTAAAAGTTCGATTGTTTTGTTACATATGGTACATACCTAGTCATAATTAATTCGAATAATTGAGATTTTACTGTATAGATTTCAGTAATTAAACCTATGTATATACTCGTAAGAATTGCATTATACATGTACTAAATGTCAATTGTAAATATTTGTAAAATATGTTAAAGAGATTGTGATTAGTATTAGAAACGTTAAAATCAATATATTAGATATAAAACATAAGCTGTTTTATAAATAATGTTAGTATGAAAACACTGCTAGACTTTCTCAACGGTTATTTTGAGAAAACAGGTCAACCTTGTTAAGTTTTTCGTTGTATGGTATTACAATTATAATTATTACATGCTTAAATTTTGCAGTATAGAATGTAAAAATTGGACGGACATATTTGATACCCATTCTTCTATAATACTAGATATTTAACCAAATTTAGAATTGTTGTATCGCCAGTAATTAAAACAAAATACTCAAGGATTAGATCGAGCAAGGCTGGCAGTTTTATTTTAGTTTAAATTTTACCACGACGTTTCGGCCAGTAATACTGGTCCTTTTCAAGTGGATCCTATTGCTTGTGACAACGAAGCATCTACAAATCAATATCTTAGTCAAAATATAAAACGGTAATAACTTGTAAAATGTAAAACTATAAAATATAAAAATATAAAGCGGTAATAAATTATAAAAAGAACTACGAGTAAATCTCTTAGTCATAATATAAAACAATAATAAATTATAAAAGAAGAACTTACAGGAAAATATAAAATTAGGCTAATCGTCATCGCACATAGAAATATACACCTTCGCACGTGTCATGTCACCAAGAGACTAAATAGTTGGTACAGAACAAAGGGACATTGCTAAGATCCTCTCGTCATGACATATAGGAGGGGAACGAAGAAACAAATAAATAAAAATAAATATGAAGTTATAAATAACTAGGTGATTCGAATGATTTTATCATATATCGTGTTGAGATTTTCAGTGTCTTTCTGGAGGTTAATAGTGTTATTAAATTTCTTGATAAAAAACATCTCTGCGATTTCTCTGCGTCTATAATGTCGTTCTTTGTTTCGCTTATTCGATCGTTCATTTGGTGGCTAAATAATTTCTTTTCTCTTTATTTGGTACATTTACATTTATCATATCTTTTCGAGTTTTCTATAATTTTGTATTTTTTTTACAATATTTTACAAGTCTGGTATCTATCTAGTAAACACTAATTAATAGTTATATAACATCAATATTATAACTTTCCTAAAACCATAAAGATAAAGGTAATATACCACAAGTTGCACTTAACGGTTACATTAGTGAGTAAAAAGTTAATATTGATAATGTAACTGTTGTATATACCCTGTTGAAAATACCCGATTAAAACCGATTGAAAATTTTGAATCCGCATGAATCTGGATTCTTGATGCGGAAAATACCGATTGACGCGGATAGAGTCAGATTTGAATCGTGTTCAATCAGGAATTTCCAGATAGATTTTGATCCGCGTCTATCGGTTTCAACCCGTGATAAAAGTTCGCCGATTGGAACCGATTGGCGCGGATTCAAGTCAATCCGGAAAAGTTGTATTAAAAACAATAGACAATTCAGATACAAATTCGCCGATTGGAACCGATTGGCGCGGATTCAAGTCAATCCGGAAAAACTGTATTAAAAACGATTGACAGACTTCATCAGAAAATCCGATAGAAACCGATTGTTACTGCTTTAATTCTATCTGGAAATACCGGATTGAATCAGATTACGGATTGAATCCGATTGATCTTGCATTTCCATCAATCCGGTGCCCGATTGGCCCGATTGATATCGAATTGAAACCGATTAATTTTTATAGAAATCAATGCGATATCTATCGGTTTGAATCGGGTATTTTCAGCAGGGTAGTGATACTGTATATGTTTATTTCAATATTCGTAGTTTATGATATTAATAGATGCATCAGAAATCTTAACAAAATTTAGTAATGTACCAGTCTGTAAATGAAATGTTTTTCGACTATTGCAATGTTTGCCATTTACTCCAACGAAATTCATTTTCTCGAAAGGAACTAAAAGGAAACTAGACCAGGTATATGTTACATCTATTGTGACACTTTCATACGTTATGTATATGGTAATTAATTAAATGTCTATGAACATTAAATCTCTAAGAAATTAATTTCAAAGGTTATTTCAATGACTTATTCCCAATAAAACCCTTCTCGAATATATGTTGGAGATTTTATTTGTACAGTAAGAAACACAGATATCATGAATTTTATTGATTAATAAAATGATAAACCAAATTTTCTTTAATATTTTCTGTTAATACGATATTAAAAAATAAGTTTCTCTAGTTCTCTCTTTATAAACGCATTAACATTTGTATCGATGAAATCTAATGAGTATCTTGTAAAAATAGTCTGTTCGCAAGTATAATTATTACACAAATATACATATATAATATAAGAGTTAATAGAGATAAATATTCTATAAAAGTCACTGCACCGTTACGATTTCGTGCGTGTTTGTTGCTGTATTTAAATGCATATACATATATCCAAATATTTTATATATAAAATATTTTACATTGTACATATATAGATATTTAAAACTATTTGTAGTTAAAGATATAAATATATAAATGAATAGAAATCGAATATTAAAGGTGTCCAAATGTGCCGTGCATCTTCTTTTTGTAAAATCTTTTATTTTCGGTTTATTAATTACTTCTATTTTTTAAACATAACTTTCATTATGTCAACAGTGTTTACGCGGATCTTTAAAAATAGAATGTGCAAATCGAAGAAAAGTAATGCAACCACATTCCATGCATATGTGCTTTGAAACTGTTGACAAGTAAACTGCAATTACACTTTATTTATGCCAAAAATAATCTTATTTTGATTAATATTAAGATAAATTTGAGATGAACGTTCTCTTCCGAATAAAGTATAAGTAATTTTTAATACAAATACACTTTCTGATATCACATAAACTCGCGGCATGCGAAGGCAGTGCTAATAGAAAATGCAATTGAGAATTCGTCAAAGTGATATCATAGCCGTTTTTACAGTGTGTGTAATTAAAGAATATTAATACTTCTCTAATGTTTCAGCCTCTTTCATTATTATGTAATAAGAAGCAAATATCAAGTTTTATAAATAGAATATGCCAATTACATAATAAGTTTTGTTAGTTTTTTAATATTGCACATGTGTGGTATGTCTTTATTTGTAACATTTTATCTTTGGTCGATGTCGCAGATGAGACGAAACGGTAACAAATTTGACCGAATTTCACAATATAATAGATATTACGTATTGTTATCTATTGATGAATAATATAGCAAAAAATTGTTTTTAGAATATTTTGGTCGCGTTATAAATTCTATTCCTATAGAACTTGAAGACAAAAAACATTCCAATAAATATACGAAATAAAATTAATTCCTTTAACTATTAATAAAAAATAAATTGAAATTTAGGTTTATTTTTTTATAGAATGTGTAAAATCTATATTTTTAATCCAGTCTTTTATCTTCTTTTATATATTTCCACATTATTCGTCTTCAATTTAACTGTTCTTTTTATACAAAAAATTCTTAAAAAATTTGAGCCAACTTTGGAAACATATTCTATTAACTTCGAGTATATTAATTATGATAATTTGTATTAGTTAATATAGCAAATTTTTTGTTCTGTAGAAAATATTTGCACTGCATTTTTAATTTTCAGTTAAGCTTATCTCGTCCTGGGAACATGCTTCTAAAGTTAGAATGTTTCTCTCGAAAATATTTTGTCTAACATCCTTAAAAAAATCTATTTGCCTTAATATATCGCAATGCAGTCTCTTATTCATTAATCAGCGACATTTTATAATTCAGGGCACACACATACACGTAAAAGAATTTCAAAGTTATAAAACATAAATATAATTCCAAGATCAAAATTCTTGTATCGATGTAACAACTCCATATCTTAAAGAGAAAAAAATCTTCTAAATTATTTACTATTATACCAGTATAAGTATCATATACTATGTGTATAATTTTGTATATGTATCCATACATTTTGGAAAAATATTGTTTGAAGATACCAATACATCAATTGCTGGTCAATATTATGCAATAATTCTGTAGAGATTGCAAATATATATGTCCCTTGGCCTTAACACATTATATCAATGTAACATGATATACACATAATATGATACAGCTGATTGTAAAAGTATAATTTTATAATTCTCGAATCGCACTGTGAACCGCACGGCTAATAGTCGTGCTAATATCCATCGTCTCATTACTCTATGTGTTAACCATTTGTGAAACATGATAAATTATAATACAAAAATCGTATATTATGTATCGCGTTTCGATGGCGGTATTAAATGTTCTGGTAGCTCAGCCGGTAGGTCATATCCTTCGAGCTTCACATTAATTAGATGCATAGCTAAGGCAAATTCGTCAGAGTCTAAGAATCCATCTTTATTAATGTCTGAAAGCTTCCAGATTTTTCCGAGTACGCTGTTCGGCAACTTGGACTTGACCATTTCTGATTTAGCCGCTGATAATATAAAATAATACAAATTAGAGTATTTTATTCCAGGAAAAGTAAATATTGTCTCTAAAAATTTAACACCCTTACCTGCTCCCGTAATTTTTCCATCCTGTGGCCCAAGTGATTCGAAAATGCTATCATATTTGTACCTTTCCTTATTGACAATCCATTCTGGTTCACCTGCACCCGCATCGATTCCTTCTCCTCTTTTGTATCCAAACGGACTAACTTGATCTTCCACACCTTCAAATGCTCCTCCTAAAATTAAATATGTAAATTATATGCAATCTTTTTCTCCCTATAAATTTAAAATATGTAAATCTACATCACATACTTTTTCGCAAAAAATTTGTTTAATCAACTAAATTTATTTATCCTTTAGCAAAAATTTTCTGGAAAATTTAAGCAATGTTTTCAAAAGTGGTTCAACATTAAAACTTAAAAATGTATAAAATATTCACAAATCATACCTTTAATAAGTGGTTCCGAAACTGTGGTGGTTTCTTCATGTGGTATCATAGCCATAAGCTTCGCGATATCTTCAGCGAGCATCTTATCTACCACTTCTAATAATTTGGGCTTCAGGGGATTAAATTTACTAAAATCGTGATGCGTTAAGCTCTCTTGCATCTTCTTTAGATCCGGAAAATCTCCAGGTGAAATCTGTTGCTCCCGTTGAATTTGATCGTAAGTCTGGCCCAGATTTTTTATCAATTCCTTCTTCTTGTTATCCTTGCCAAACATGCTCGGCATATCTTTCCGTAAAGCACTTATTATGTACGCGTGGACCTATAAATTGACGCAGAACATGAATCTTTCTCTACTAAATCTAGTCTAAAATTGTCATTGTAGAGAAATTAACGTAGTCTCTTTGCTTTGCATACCTTTGCCAAACGTGCTCGTTTAATTAAGTCATTAAGTTTTCTTAACGCGGCATTTTTTGGAAGCGACTGCATATCTTTAAATAAATCTTGCTCTTCATCTTCAAATAATCTGAAAAAAGACACAACGTTTAAACACAAAATATAGAAATAATTGATATACAAAAGCTTACCTTCTATTAACATCGTATCTTAACGGCTGATCCCAAAACGAGCCAATATAAACCCTAGCCACTTCTGGAGTTTGCAACACCTTCCCCAACGACCACATTAAAGCACCGTATACTCTCATGAGCTGTTGATGATCTATCATATCGGCTTTGTTAAGAACAATTCTAATTTTATCGTCATGCCCACGTAAAGCCTCGATGGATCTGCGAAATTCATCTGATATATCGAGCTTGTGAGCGTCAAACAACAGGATAATCCTATCTACGCGCTCAGCGAACCATTCTAAAACGCCAGTGAAGTCATAGCCTCTGTCAACCTGGAGGAAACATTCATTTTTTTTCATTATTCAGCATTTGTTTAAAATTGTTTAACATAACAGTATTGATTAACATTCATTATTTAGCATTTGCCGTACTCGTCATACAAACGAATACGTATCTTGCATCAAGTAACTTCATTACTTCAAAGGTGAGCAGTATTAAATCACATTTCTTTTTGCAGAACCGAGGTTTTCACATCTTTTTCAGTTAGTTTGTCGAGCCGAGTACAAAGAATATATATATATATATATATATATATATATAAAATCTCGCTCTTGCGAAAAATGTGACTCAACACTGTTTGAGGCACCGATTTGCATATACGCAAAGCTACAAAAGCATTACTTACTCGTTGCTTCTCGCCGGACAGTATACCAGGTGTATCCACTATAGATATGCCCTTCAGGACCGGCGAGGCCACGGTCGAGCACTGAAACCTGTTAAGGAATGCATTGCCGAATTTCGAGAGCGGCCTGAACTGTTTGCTCGGGTCGACGACCAACGCGTTTCCAGGTATGACCCCCTCCTTCTCGTCGTACATGACCGCTATAAATCGATCCGTGGTGGGCTCCGGCCCGATCCTGATGCCCGGGAACTCCCTCTCCAGCAGATACTTGATAAACGTCGTCTTGCCGGTGGAGTACTGGCCGACCAAGAGGATCATGGGCTTGGCGTCGAAATCCGGGTCGTCCAGCTGCGGCGAGTGAAAGTCGTGGAACTGATAGTACTGCTCCAGCGGCATCAGCTTGGACTTGTATATCCTCTTGAGGCCCTCGGTGACATTTTCGAAGAGGTCCTGCTTGCTGTTCTCCTCGCGATTCAGCCAGCTGAACATGTTGGCGATCTGCAAGCAAAGCCCGAGTTGTAACGTTCTCTCGCCACTGGAGACGCGTCGTCGCGCGCGGCCCGAATTCCACGGGACGACACGTCGCGCGTTTAGCAACGTTAGCACACCAAGTGACGGCCGCGTCCTGTTAATTAACGTTTCCCTCGGCCGAGCCGGGACGGGATTTACGAGGCTACGAACTCTAGACCAGCCGTTCTCCGGACTGGAGAGCGCGCGGCCCGCAGAGAGGTTAAGGTTATCACGTCAATTATATCGGAGCGCTCCGCCTCCGAATTTCCACGCTCGTGCCTTCGGGACTCGTGCGTCCACCACAGGCAGAGTGGACGTCGCCCTCCGCCCGCTGAGAACCCCGGCCGTGCCTCGTTCCAGAGAGCAACCTCCCGGCACCGCCTTCCCTCCCGGTACCGATATCTCGCACCCGGCACCACCTCCTCGCGCGAACGACGACCGGGACCTCGGACTCGAAGCGCGTGCAACGAGGAGCCAAGTACGAGAGCGCAAAAAAGTGTGGAAGAGGACACGTGGACTCCGGGGGGGGAAGGTGGTCGGGAAGGAGGCGCGGGGGGGAGAGAAGGAGGAGAGCTCGAAGAGCCCGTCGAGCGGCACCAACCTTTGCCTCGGAGATTCACCGGTCAAGGATGAGCGGGCGCGCTTGACAGAGCGCGACGGACGCGAGGACGAGCGCGGACTAACGGACTCTGAGCGCGCGGCGTAAGGCGGTCTCCGCCGCCGACGTGACGTATGCACTGCCCAGCCGATCGCGGAAGATCGCGAGCACCGCGGACTTCCGGGAGCGGACGTGGTGGCGGTGGCGGCGGTGGTGGTGGTGGTAGCCGCTCGGGACTGCTCAGCCTGAGTGAGTCGCCTGAGATCGCCAGCGGTGACGCAAACGGCGCTGGAAGGCGTCGCGTACGCGCTGCGCTGCGCTGCGACCGCGCCCGGCGAACCTGGACACACGATACTCCACGACGTGTCCTCGGAGAGAAGGGACGGGTGACGCGCGACTCGGTCTGACAGGTTGTCGACGCAGCCGCGACCACTGCACTACACAACATGTGGCATTGGGTTCACAGACGACTCCACAGTCAGTGTCGACAACTGACAAAGCGTGAACGAGAAAGAGAATGAAGGAGGGGGGGGGGGGAGTGCTGGACCAATGTCTATTCCTATCAATGCGGATTGACTTTAGTCCCGATTCAGCTTACTTTTTACGCTTTTCTAATTCTTAGGACCAGACGAGCAGGCAGGACCGAGTTAACTAAAGTTGATCTACATTTGGTGGAAATTGACAAGATGCGTTCGACTCGTGTTTCACAGCCGTTTTTGTAAATGTTAATTAGGGACGCGCCGAGATGGCTTGTGAATAAATTGATTGATTAATGTGACTGAGGTTTTTGAATGGATGTTTTTCGGATAGACGTGCCCCATACAGCACAGCAAGATTTCAGCAACATCATGCAGCAATAATTTATCGCAAGATTGCAACGTTGCCTAAGCGCTGCGAAATGTTGCTGCAACGCTGCTGCAATCTTGCAGCAACGGTAAGTCCCAGTCTACAATAGATGATTTAAGCCCTAAGCTTTAAGAAATTGGCCAATCACGGTCAAGTATGAGTAGAATGCGCGACTCCCAGTGAGAAATGATTCGTTGATCGACGTCGAAACGACGTCGAATCGACATCGACACCGTCGAATTGACGTCGATTCGACATCATTTCGACGTCGATCGACGAATCATTTCTCACTGGGCTGTGATTAGTCAATTTCTTAAGGCTTAAGGCTTAAATCTCTATTGTAGACTGGGACTAAAATGTATAAAATTTTGTCAGTTACCTAACCTATAAACTTATTCGAGTGAATAGATTTTTTGTTAGGCTTCTGAACTCAATTTCAATGGTACCATGCTGTTCTTTCGCTTAATCTGAATAGTGTAACACACTGTCGATTCGTACACAAAAGCCACATATTTTGTATATTACCGACACATTCGAATTCAGTTTTTGCGCTGATAAATCTTTTAACATTTTCATACTTAAAACACTCAGGTCAGGAGTCTAATGAAAAAGATTTACCAGCGCAAAAAACTATATTCGAATGTGTCGGTAAAAAAGATGGCTGAAGGATCCCTCTCAAGTCTTTCGAGGGAACGTCGCATTAATCGCTCCGTCGCGATTTCGATTGGTTGCCGAAAGCGCGAGATTTTTCGCGCGCAAGTTCAGGTCGCGGGCAAGAGAGTTTCGTAGTTCGCGGTCGAGCACGCGCGCGTCTTATCGGCGGGAGACGCCTCGTTCCGCGCCGAGAACAAATGGAAAGCTGATCGAGGGACAGCCTGGGCGCGGCGAGGAAACGCGGGCGTAGAAACACGTGATAGTATCGTGCACTTGGAATCTCAGCTATCTATTTTCTCTCGTGAGTCTTTTGTTTCCACTGTCGAACGCGACAACGCGACGCGACGCGACGCTACGCGCGCCCGTAGAATCCCGAGCGCCGACCTAGAGCTTTCCGCTTTCGAATTTCCGCGATTGTTGTACGCGATTGTTGGATTCTCGTCCCGCTTGGCTATCTTTGAAACGCGCGAGGCGCGCTCACCCGAGCACTCGCGCGATATATTTCCGGCGTTTCTGCATCTCGCACCCCGTCGCGAGGCGTCCCGCGTGAAGTTGGGCGCTCTCGGTTGTTGCGAAGTTCGCCGGGTTTGCTTGTTCTTCGAATCGCGCCTTCTCGCGGTCGCGTACGTTGCCCGTCCCGAATTCTGCGGGAAAGAACGCGCCCGGCTCGCGACGATTCCCTCGTCGTTTTCGTCGGTCGACTCGAGGGTCGGCGCCCAGGAACGCGGGGGATACGTCAAGGTACGAATATGGGTCAAAGTATGAATATCGTTCTTATTAGGCCCGGTTTCACCAAACGTCGCGTGACTTTAACCTCAGTTTAATTCACGTTTGTCCCTTTCTAAAGTAACAGCTGGAAAAAGACGAAGAGCGTCGCTTAACTTTAGTCGTAGTTCAATTCAAGTTTGTCCCTTTCTAACCCAGTGAGAAATGATTCGTCGATCGACGTCGAAACGACGTCGAATCGACATCGACACCGGCGAATTGGCGTCGATTCGACATCATTTCGACGTCGATCGACGAATCATTTCTCACTGGGAAAGTAACAGCTGGAAAAAGACGAAGAGCGTCGCTTAACTTTAATCGTAGTTCAATTCACGTTCCCAGTGAGAAATGATTCGTCGATCGACGTCGAAACGACGTCGAATCGACATCGACACCGTCGATTCGACATCATTTCGACGTCGATCGACGAATCATTTCTCACTGGGTTTGTCCCTTTCTAAAGTAACAGCTGGAAAAAGACGAAGAGCGTCGCTTAACTTTAATCGTAGCTCAATTCACGTTTGTCCCTTTCTAAAGTAACAGCTGGAAAAAGACACAGAGCGTCGCTTAACTTTAATCGTAGTTCAATTCACGTTCGTCCCTTTTTAAAGTAACAGTTGAAAAGAGACAAAGAACGAATTAAACTAAGCTTAAAGTTAAGCGACGTTGGTGAAACCGGGCCTTAACCCTTTCATGATCGCTGGGACGTGTAAGCCCTTACAAAATTTACTTACAAAAGGATTCGATCATTTAGCGTGCGTTCCATCAGTCTGAATAAACATCGCGTCGAGAAAAAGCGATAATTAATTCGGTCGTAAAAGGGTTAGTCAAAGTTTCGTCGAGATCTACATCTGCTTTTTGAAGAAAAGCGAAAACTCGCACTTTCATATATATTGTATATACATAATTTATAATACGTATAAATCGTCATGTATATAATAATTAAATTGTGTAATTTATACATACACTGAGAAAAATGCCCGATTAAATGCAAGTATAATCGGATAATCCAGTTACATAATAACAGACGGATATATCCAATTAAATTGTATATCCGGTGAAAAATATGATCGGTTTTTCAATTAAATTTTATCGGACGTATCCATAATTTAATCGGAAACATTAACCATCGGAATAGCTTAATAGGTTTATCCGCTGAAAAATTTTTCTCAGTGCACAAATATTAATAGAGATATATATGTAATTTTCATATATGAGAAACGTAAAATATTTGACATGATAACATTTATCTATTGACCGTCTCACGACCAAAACGGATGCTTGGAAAGCACCAAATAAATAATGCCACCTCTCTACCTCTATTTCCTCTCCGTCTCTGATCCATTAATAAACGAAGCGTGTTTTCTTCTATTACGTCGTTAAAGCGCGTCTCGCTGTGCTAGAAATGGTTAAAAATCAAGAAGACGCTGATGTGGTAAAACTAATTAGCTTCGTGTACGAAGAAATTTATATACATTTGATATTTGATAATTAATTGAAATTGATGTATTACTTTATTGCTTATATATTTAAGAAATTAGCCCATCACTTTTGGATGTAGAATTGACTGCGCGACGAGTCATTAAAACGGGAAAATGTTTAACGGATGGCTCTCTATTTCTATCTATTGCTATTCATTTTCCCTACACGCATTCGTATTAACGAGAAAATAGAGCCGCATAATCGGAAAAACGTAGAGCGTCACTGGGATTCCCTCGTACGCACCAGTGAGTTATGTAACGCTGTAACAGTTGACGAATGACAGTGACATAACGGAGGCGTAATGTTAACAATGAATGTCCAAGAGTCAATCGATAACTGTGACCTTCTCTCATGCAAGTCCGATCGAATCGCGAAACGTTGAGTCGGGAACGATGCGCGCGTTGGATTCACGCGAATAAAATCTAAATTGTTGAACGGTGAGTCACGAGAGACAAAAAAAAACTGATAAGCGAGAGCTAAGCCTCCCGTCTTATCTTTCCTGTTAAATGCACCGCATTGAATCCACCGCGGCTCCCTTGACTTTAGATTGATCTAAAAATGAAATATCGCGGAAGCGGCGTTAAAATTAATAAGCCGATAACTCGCGCAAATCGAAAGAACAGATTGCGATTGCAGTTGAATCAATGAGAACGGACGGGCGGTGTGGCATTTCAAACGGGTCCTTGCTCTACATGGACAGGCGCGTCTACAGTTTAGGAAACAATTCTTTTCAACGAAAACTTGCTTTAAGGAGCCTCTTTAAGTAGCACAGAACCTACTGAAAAATTCATACTGCCAAGTTTTTTGTTACACAAGCATTTTCTCAAATATGCACGCGAATTTGTTACATGCCACTCTTTCTGTTTTTACCGATTCAATCGATGCCTCCAGCTATCTTACCTGAAGAAAGCCTCGCGTATCAGGCCGAGATGTTATCATACCGAATATGTATTCGCCTCGACAAATATTTATTTCGTTGTCGCTTGTACTTAAAATGATGTCCTCGGCTCGCTCACTCATTCGCGAAATAAATTCGTTTTCACTTTCTCCCTCGCGACGTAAGCTGCGAGCACGAAAAGTTAATCGCAATCACGTCATGACAAAACGTCTCGTTCGACTTGTTCGAAAGTGGAGCACGCATTGAGATCAGAGGTGTATCTCGTATTGCATCGAGCGCGACTGTTTAATTGCTAATTGCGCACGTACTATTCGGTACAAGAGACAATAGTTCACGCCAATAATCGCATGATATTACGCAATGATACGCAAAACGGGTCCAGTGTCAACGGTTGCATAAGCAAAACGGGCACATCCCGGTTAAACGATTTCGTGCCCATTTATTCGTCTTAACGAGCTTCGCTTGAATTACAACTGGTTTGCAGGGAGTTGTAACGTGCACATTATGCACTCGACCGCAACACTCGCAGCCTCCCTGAGAGACAGGATGTCTTTAGGAATGCAACAGAAAAATGCAACAACTCGCGTTCAAATGTCTGTAGCTCTTTTTTTTATTCAATCGTGTTTGTTCTTATTTTTGATGAGAAAAATTTATTTATAATTATCTTCATATTTTCCTCACGTGAATCTATATTTATTTTAGTAAAATTCAGAACTTTAAAAGGTATATTCTTATCTTTTTGTAGAATCGTCTGTAATGTATGACATCTCTGTTTAAAAGCTGGAAATTAATTCGAGAGTAACAAGAAAAGTGGGCTTTGAACGTACAACTTATAATTTGCATTAAATAAATGTTTCTATATTGTATTAATTTAATTGTCGATCTATAATTATACTTTATTATATAATTATTCTATTGTGATTTAATTATATGATTTATATTGTATTAATGAAATTTTATGTATAACTCATGCACAACTAACTCGACTCGCAAAATCCACTTTTCATTGTTGCTCATTCAAATATTGAGAGTCTTTAGTAAATTAATTAATTGTTTGAAGTTCATTCGGCTTGAAAATTATCTGCAATCGCAAGTGAAGAGTGAACAAAATAAAGCAGTTTAAGTCAATAATATAATCAATAAATTTCATCATAATAAAGAAACGATTCAAACGTTCTTTCGTAAGAATATACTTTTATATTGGAAAATACCAGGTGATAATGGACATATTGAAAATTTTCTTGGGAAAATATCTTCTTAGGGAGCGACAGACGGTTCTTGTCTCTCGTGTAAAAAATTTTTATCTTATATTAATGTCAATATAGGCATCGCTGAAATGATATTCTTATCGTTTATCAGTATTGCATAAGGCGCTGACGAACTCATTTCTTATTGATAAACGTTTTGACGATTATCTGCAATAAGGTACCAGAGGCGCCTTCTATACCGAACTCTTCGTACCGTCCGCTCATACCGACCTTTATTAAAGCAACAATTGTTTCTTCATAAAAAGAAACTACAGACATTTGAATTGCTGAATTTTTCAAAACTCGCCGGTTGCATTCGTAAAAGACATTCGCATTCTGTTCCTTAGGGTGGCCGCGAGTGTTGCGGGTGCAGAAATGTATACGTTACTATTCGGTATCTCTGCAAACCAGTTGTAATTTAAGCGGGGCTCGTTAAGACGAATAAATAGACACGAGGCATTTATTAAAGGGGCGCTTTTTTTAATTAAACTCGCTTACGTTTAATGTAAATTTTATTTTTACAGAGTTTACGCAGCAGGCGCTTCCACTCGCCGATGGATTCCTCGGTTATGCAGATGAAAAACCGAGTAACGTATTGCTTTGTTTCATTGACGGATCAACGTTGGTAAGCACAATGAAATTTTTCGCACTATTGTAGTCTAGAAAGTACATGCTTCTTTTTGTTTCCATCTTATTCACGTGTCATTTTAATACCTATTATGTGTATCGCTATTCACGTGTCATTTTAATAACTATTACGTGTTATTTTAATAACTATATTGCTATCTCTCTTAATGATAATATTACAAATGTATAAGTCATATTGATTACTAATATTTATGGGTAATTATTAGAGTAATAATTACGAATATTATAATAATTGAGCGTACACTTAAATTAATTTAAGTATCGATGTTACGGTTACGTATACATTATTTACATGTATCGCGCATTACATGCATTAACGTTTGACATCCCTTGTTCCGCTTTACACGCGTAGCAATGATTCCATGCAAAAACGTGAGCGTAATAATTGATTTCAATCAAGTACAATTATATTATACAGAAAGCCAGCTGGTTTTACATTTTACACTCTGCGTCCCAATCGTTCGGAATCACCTCGTGCCATACTTGCCTCAGGTTTTGCAATAGACAGGGACTCGCGCAGTTGGGAATTTTCAAAGGATGCGCATCTTCCGTTCTCGTATTGTTCAAATACAGCGCCTTCGGTGACAGAGAGAGAAAAAAAAAGAATTATCATCCCATAATTTATAAATCATTAGGGCAGCAATTGTGAAAGAAGTAAGAGAGATATTTAGATGACATACATGTGCAAACACATTAGCATGTAAATATACGAGTTATTTTACGAATCTCAGCGATTGCATAATTATATTAATTATGCATAATCGCTAATTACTGCCGTTGATTAATTACATTCACGTGTCATTTCTGGTAATTAAACATTTATTATTAAGCTTATCTGTTGTAAATTGTAACAACGACGTATAACGCACACAGTTCTTAGATGGGATTTTATTTTAAAGTTCTCGCGATGTGCGAAACAATTTCTTCGAAAAATATTCGTTGCTATATCGTCAACTTTAACGGTACCATCAATTCGATGATACTACCTGATAATAACCGTACCTTCACTTCTCGGTCGGCTCCATTATTGGAGAGATGCAGCTCCAATATCAGCGTGGCCCCGTAATCGGGTTTAAGAAGCTCATTCGTAAATCCCATTGTCCTCAGCACGTTGACGATAGTTACGTCGTGAGCGGAATAAAAATAGGATCGCTTCGGCGTGGGATCGGTTTTACCCTCTTCCATACAGCGTAAAATCTCCTTCAGCAATGGACCTGGAAGATACAACCGATACAGTTTACAATGCAAGGTCCCTGCGAATGCGATTGAAAAATTGCATTCGCAGCAGATATTTTCCGCTGCCTTCGCAGAGATATCCCGGCGGTACCTCCACGAAGACGTTTTTGTGTGGTGCCGTCGGTGAAGATCGCCAAACTGCGGGCGGCTATGTCGCGCATCTCCTTGTTGTAAAACTTGCGCGTCCACGTCGGAAGCTGCAGGCCGTGCTCCTCCTCGATCTCGAGGGTGTTGTAAAGGAACTCGACGTCGGTGATCGTGCTCATATTCTGTCCGGTGTGCTCCGTCAGTTCCTTATAATAACCGGCCATCTCTTCGCCGGATCTCTCCGCCTCATCTTCGTACGCCCGTTTTAGGGCTGCCTCCAATCTCGGGCACGGCACCTTCACCGCTATCAGCTGCAATAACACGTCACTGTGATTAAAAAGTCAGCCTCTTCACGCGCCTGCGTGTTCCCGACAAGTAACTTGTCTTTCGTTTAAGACCACTCGGAAATGTAGACCTTGTTGTCATAGAAACTATTCTGATTTTCGCAACGCCAGATGAATTTTGTGCACAAAATCCGGCGGTTGCCCGCAGATTATGATAATTGACTGAAACCTGTTGCGATCTTAAGATTTACGCGTGTTTTTTTTCCCCTCGTCGTCGAAAACAATAAGCGCGAAAAAAGGGATCCCCTTGAGACAAAGAGCCTGCGTATGGGACTTCTTGGGGCAAGATTTCACGCTGCAGCCTCTCTCTCTCGGCTTATATTTATAAGTCTGATCTCGGATTAAACCTTGTCGAGATTCCTTGGTATCGAGTGCACGGGAACGGGGGTCCATGCCAGACCGGGCACGAACATGTCCTCGGGACTCGGCACGAACAGTCCGGCGAGCAATGCCTGCGCCGACATGACGCACCGATCCGCGTAGCTGCTACGCACCAGCGTGGCCGTGCTCTCGAATTTACGACCGATTACAGCGCCGTATTTTAAGCGCACCCACTGACCCACGTTGTACAGTTGCAGCATCCCCTTCTGAAAGTGCATGGCAAGATTGATAACGCGCGTCGTGCTCCATTATTCGCGCTCGATCGCGCGTCTTACTACCGCGATACGTATACCGTGCGCTGCAAATGCGCGATTAAATTTATGGCGAATCTGGACGTGTATTATCGTATCACGTATAGCGGTATCGATTCAACGGTATTTCACCTTTGTCAGGGCGCCCCAGCCACCGGGCCAATTGTAATCTATGTAAGGATCCTTAGGGTAGGTCTCCGTAGGAGTTCGATCGCCGTGACGAAACAGCTGTCAAAAAACAATGACGATTTCTGTACGAGAGGAAAGTACACTGAAAAAAATTCTGATAGATTCAACCCGTCGTCTGTTAGAAAATGGACGAATCAGAATTTTTTTTAGGATTTACTAGAATTTCTTTAGGATTTACCAGAATTCCTTTAGGATTTACCGCACTGAAAAAAATCTGATAGATTCAACCAGTCGTCCGTTAGAAAATGGACGAATCAGAATTTTTTTTTAGGATTTACCAGAATTTCTTTAGGATTTACCAGAATTCCTTTAGGATTTACCGCACTGAAAAAAAATCTGATAGATTCAACCAGTCGTCTGTTAGAAAATGGACGAATCAGAATTTTTTTAGGATTTACCAGAATTTCTTTAGGATTTACCAGAATTCCTTTAGGATTTACCATGAAAGATATTTCATAGCTAGAAGTTTGCTAGACTTCACCTCAAATCTGGTAAATCCTAAAGGAATTCTGACTCGTCCATTTTCTAACAGACGACTGGTTGAATCTATCAGATTGTTTTTTCAGTGCATGAAAGATATTTCATAACCAGAAGTTTGCTAGACTTCACCTCAAATCTGGTGAATCCTAAAGGAATTCTGACTCGTCCATTTTCTAACAGACGACTGGTTGGAATCTATCAGACTTTTCTTTTCAGTGTACTGTTCATTTACTGTTGGGCACGCAAGTTCACCTCGTCCTTCCTCATCTGACCAGTTCATTCCTGACTAATTAGAGAGCCCGAAGCAAGGGAGAGATTCGTTCAAATTTTTCGCCATTTGAAAACCTCGAGCCAGCATTATACGTGTTTTTCGCACCGAATATTATACATTTTAATGAATCCTTTTATTTAACATTAAGTTAATGCTCGGCAGCGAAATATCTCGTAAAATTGCGAAGTTAATAGATGCAAATGTCATTGGTATAACGTAACATGAAAATTAAATTAACGCTCTACGGAAGCGGAGTAACGAGGTGACGCGGGCCAACTGTTACAAACGAGCTACTCACAAAAACCACCTGCTGTAACGTGTTACGTTTGGTAACCGGAGACGCGAACGCCGTGTACGCCAGCATCGTGCAGGCGATGAAGGTCCCGAGTACAACCACGCTCACGCAAACGCCAAGCTTTCTGGAACGACAATTACCCATCGAGGCTCGTCCTCTCGTCCGATCCATTTGGTCCAATTACACGTTTCCCGTGGCGATCCCAAGGAACTTCTCCAATCGCGGGCTAGATAGTAAACGAGAGCTCGTTAGCGGCTGGCGTAATGACTCCAGCACAAACCGATAGTTACTTAGGCGACGTCCCTCGTGTAAAATAAATAAGTTTAACACATGTAAAGTTACTTTGCGCGGTTGCGCCTCCGAATCGGTTGCTAGCTTTATTTATCTCAACATTAGAGCCGTGCCTGAAGTTCGCGAATCGGTGTTTCAAGTAAAATAGAAAATCGAGATACGCAGACGCGGCAATAACGATAAATCAAAGAACGACGAAGTAAAAGTAATAATCTTCCCGTGTTATCGATACTCGAGGTATCCGCATTGGACAATAATCGGAATTACAAAATTACATTATCTCTTCAAAACCCATTTGGAAAACTCTTTCCACAGTATCGCGCGAAGAATAGAAAAAAAGATGATACAACTCCCACGCTTAAATCAAAGAAGAAATATTGAGCGAAAGGGACGGGGCTTTTCTCATTTTCGTAAAAGGTCACGGTTGGCTTATCTGGCTCCGCCAACAAATGCTTCACTATTTCAATTAACGTCAGATCGTCTCTGCGATATCGTGCGTCGGGAAAACACTTGTTTCTCTATCAGATGAATACACGCCGTGCCCGTCGCGGACTCCTCTGTTGGCCGCCATATCGAAAGGCAGGTTTACCTCCACTTATACGCGCGACGTCGTAACCGCACTAACAGCTTGTAAGATCCCACTGTGTGTAATACGGCACTGCGATCGCTGATGCACGTCTTGCGGTATCCTCGTGGCGTCCTCCTCGGAGCACTCGGAGTAGAGGGAGACGCGAGGTGCGTGACGTGCGTGCAGTCCGCAAGTCGCGCGAAATCGCACGGCAGTCGGTCGGACTCGCACAAATTCGATAACACACTCTGTTATCGGTCGCCCCGAATTACAGGAACCTCGCCCACGAATAAGAAAACCGAGACACGCGTGTACGCTCTTCCTCCTCGCAGCACACGCTCTTCTTCGTGTGACACATGGCTGAGAGATCGATCGTGATGGCTATATATACGTGTGTGTGTGTGCGTGTGTGCGTTTGTGTGTCATGCTTATGTAAATCCTGCCATATGAATGGCGCGTCTGGCTTCCAGTTGTACCAGTTGTCTCTCTATTGTACGGCGCTGTTTCCTCGTCGCAAAGCGATCCCGTTCGATAACAGTGCGACATCTTGCTCAGGCAATATCGTTAATATGGCGCCTGAGTGACTTTCGTTTCTTGATAACGTCGCTGATAACAGTTTTGCGCCGTCAAGGCTTTGTAAAGAGAATACAGACGTGATGGCGTATTACAAAATTTTCTTGAATCCCACGAAAACGATTAACGTCGCCGTAAATACGTAATTTTATACAGGCAAGTCTCCTATTGCGAGACAGGCTCTCCTAATAAGAGATAGCGGCATCATCTGTTGGCTCCACCATGAATTTATTGCTCCTGGAGTAAAATCTGTTTAATATAAATTAATCGATACTCTAAGGCCCGGTTTCACCAAACGTCATTTAACTTTGATCTTAGTTTAAGGTAGTTCGATCGCGACAGTAATGCTAAAAAGGTTATTCCAGACAGGAACCAGCACTCAATTATTACAATAATATATCTTGATGCAATATTGTTCTAAAGAATACACTTACTATTAATACATAATATAAAATAGATTCAAAAGATTATAGTTGATCTGACTTTAAGTTTTCCCGTGTAAAAAATCACCACAAACTTTTGGAAATGTACAGTTTTGGAACTTAAAAGTGTCACGTATACCGACAGATTTTTATAACCTACGTTTCCACCTGTTTAACAGCGTGACAAATAGTGTAAAAGTGTTGTCAGCGTGTAAGCTTTTGACATCAAATTTTGAAACATTAGGTTCGTGCGCCTTATATCTTGTCAGCCATACGGCTGAAGTTTGAGACGCTGTTGCCACATCTCTTACGCTACACTCATGTCTACTACGTAATTCTTCCCATTTCTCAGTTTTAACTGTTTATATTGTTGAAACGAAACGGTCAATAATTTTGATTTTTTTTACAGTTATTCGTTCTATTTTACTTTATAACATATTTGTTTCTCATACGAATCTCACTCATCGTTAAGCTTTAAAAAATAAAATGTGCCACCATTTGCGTTTGCAAATGCAAATATTAATATTTTAAAACATAATAATATGTGTAAATAATATTTCACATGTAATAATATCGCAACGAATTATATTGTTACATGTAATAATATTTTTAACGTGTTTTACACGTAATATTTCGTGTGATATAGTAAAGTTTAACAATTTTTTTTAGAACTTTGAGACGGTCAATTTTAATTTAATTAGTCTTATTTTGCACGTATTTATGTAAAGAATAAACTGTAAAAATTTGAAACAATTCTCACATAACTGATTTTACGAAAGAACTACCTTAATTCACGTTTGTCTCTTTCAAAAGTAACAGTTAGAAAGAGACAAAGAACGAATTAAGCTAAGCTTAATGTTAAACAACGTTGGTGAAACCGGGCCTAAGCTGTCAGTAATGTGCAGTTCTGGTTATGGGTGGCTGTCACAACTGTCACAATCGTGTTATATACTACATATTGCACTACAAATCTCATTATTCTAATTTCACAAACTTTTCTATTTTTAAAATACTTTCAAACATCTTAGCAATATATCATTGATGCTTTAACAAATGTATTAATTCGAACTTTAAAGGTTGTATAAACACTTATACTTGACGTTTAATCAATATTTTATATTTTTATAAAGGCGTCATAAAGACGTCTTTTTGACAATGTCTTAAGACGTTTTTTTCTGACGTCTTATAGACATCTTTTAGTAAAGTCTTAAAGATGTCTCTTTTAAGACGTCTTGAAGAACGTCGTTTAGACATGCATGTTGTCTGGGAAGTTCATTGTTAGATTGTGTAACAGTTGCGAAAGGAGATTTGTTATTGAATTTGGACGTTGAATACCTGCTATCTCATATTAGAAGCCCATCCCATAATCGGGAACTTTCCTCTAATAATACATACATTTTTTTCATGTTATGAGGCCGTTCTTGAGAGAATGGTCAGGCAAGACTCTCTTTACGATGAATGAAAGTACAAAAGATGTCGGACAATTTTATAACAGTTGTCGAACAAGTTGCTGACTGTGTGATAAAGTTGCTGCGTAATTTACCAGAAGGAAACGTGACTACTCTCGTCCCTTCCTACTCTGAAAAGTCGTGAAAAATAGAAGAGAGACAGCAGGTTGCATTTGGCATTGGACGTGGATAGAGAACACGGGATGCGTTGTTGGAATAAACATGCGCGTATAGCTGGGTTAAAGTAACTTTTATTTACGATCAGTTTTTACTAGAGGCGCAATAAATCTCTTTATAATACACAGAAATAACGCAGGTCGACTTCACGCGCTTCGCTCGGGGCGTCGGTGATAACCAAACGGGATTTCGCGATTAAGCGAACAAATCGCTTCGTCCGTGGGCACACATTTATTTCTGAAATGGTAGGTAATTTATTCGCGGAAACGAGTATCCGCGTGCGTCGATCGAACGTGCACAATTTTTACGTCCGGGTGTTGGAGCAACGGGAGTCACGTTGCACGCGAAATAGAAGTACCATTTACGACAAACGTTGTAATCCGCTTTTGCAGCCATTAATTAATAGCCGTTTTGATTAGCGTTATTCCGTACATTATTTTAACGATACATACGAACAGTTCTCGAAAGATAATCGAGCTAAATCTTGGAGTAACGATCATTATCTCCATATCGAACGTTGCTCTGTTTTCAAGACAATGCACGGGTTAATTTTATATCGTTAATCTTGTGAAGAAGCAAACAATCTGAGAGTCTCACGTAATTCACCTGTGTCGGTGAGTGGTTGCTCCGAAAGCCTTCCCAATTATTTATCATCGAGTGCGATTAACGGAGCCGCGATCGACACTCACTGTGCGCTTTGGTTACCACCTGTTGACAGGAATGCACAAGCCAAATGTCAAAAGAAAAAACAAATAGGGCGCATTTAAAATGAAAATTTACACATCCTTGATAATTGAACCGTTTGCAGCGTTTGGGATTGTAAAAAATCTGTTGTATACATGGTCGCGTACATTTTCCGCAATCTGTTACGTATTATTGAAAAACGCTACAAAAGCAACGGATTTTAACATTTCAAGTAGTTCACGGGAAATTTCATTTGACTTCGGCCTGATTAATTGAATTCGAAAAGGTAACGGTTCAATATTTGCTTTCGCGACGTGATTTGTAATACAGTATCGAGTTTCGAAAAAAAGCAGCGTCGAGCTGCTTTTTCCCCCTTTTCTCGCTTCAAAATAAATCGGACATTTCCTTTTGCGCACCCCTGACCTACGGACTAAATCTAAGGTAGTCTATAACACGAAAGAGGGACGAAGTTTTACTACCTCTACGTCGCTTTTTATTTTTATACCATCTTGTTTTATGCAAGCGCAGCGTGCATCCGGTGCACGTTGCGTGTTACATAAGATGTAGGATAGACGTTGGAGCTAGTAAAACAATGTGACCTAAGTGGGCAGGGTCCTCAAATCGTTTCGCGCGACACGCCGAAGTGCCGTAAAACGCTCGATACGCATAAAATAAAAAATACGACCGTCCGAAGCCGCTACGTTTCTCACTGTAATTCTAGACCGTCCGACGAAATCGGGTTTCGCCGACGAGGAATTTACGCACAACCGCGGATTTGCCTCGTCGGTCGGCGCAAACGAGGTTTGAGAACGCCCGGCCTAAACGAAAGCAACACCGATTACGATTATCATAGTAAGTACGACGAGTCCTTTTTTTGTTTTTACAAGAGTCACTAGAATATCGAAGAAGAGAAAGAGGCCGAGAGACGAAGGGGGTGCGAGCGATCGTACAATACATCTTTTGGTATGAAAGTTTAACGAAGCGGGCGTTCGAAGCTGCGGAAGAAAAATTATTCCGCGCGCGTAAAGGATTAAAGGAGAATTCTCTCTCGCGCGCGCAATGCTCGCTCGGGGGGGGGGGAAAGGAAACTCGTCGCGGTGTACGATTTCAATTGCAGATAGTAATGACTAGAATAAATGCAGCCCGGAAGTGGAGCGTCATCGATTCGCGGAGGCGCGACTCGAAGGAGCCCCTCTCGTTCATGGATCAGCGAAATGCAACGTCTATCCACTTCATTTTATCCTGCGGCACGAGTAAAGTAGCTAGTCCGTACGCGGCTCACGCGCATAACAAATAAAGATAACAAAACGCACTAACGATACCTGGCGAGAATGCCTCTACGGTACTCTCGTGTTTTTCTCCCCGCCGGTTGAAAGAAGCCCGGACAAATTGCAAAGCGGACCGAGCGATCCGTCCCGCGAAATTAATTTGCACAATTGTTGTAAAAAGTCTTGAGGCTGACACGCGGATCCGCGTGGGCGAAACGAATACCCTGATTCTCTGATCTAACTTAGTCTGTAAAATCCATTTTAAGTCTTGTCGTTTGTCATTAATTTTAATTAATTCTTAATTAAAGATCGAACCGTGCGCTATCCGACTTGATAGACGCGCTGAACACAAATTAACAATATGTTTAATGCGCTATTTGTGCCCATTATAAACGGATAGATACACTCGCTTGGAATAAATTTTAAACGAAAGCATTTCCGCCAGGAGCGATATTATCACATCCGCTTCTACAGAAACGAAACAAAATGAAGATTAATTTAGCAACGCAGTTGCGGACTGCCAGTGGTGCAACTAGAAGGGGTGTGCGAACTTCTAAGTGCGAGGACGAAAGTGCGGGAGGATGTAAAATCGATCGAATTTGTCAACATCGATTAATCGTATCTACGATCGTAATTGTTCTTCTTTTAATAAGGAACTTATTACTATTTGCGCTTTGAAGGAGGTATACATGGTCTATACACACACTATAGGTTTACTTGAGGAAAGAGGAGAGGAGTAATTAATCGCTCGAGTGCATTTAGTTACGCCACTGGCAACGGACGATTCTGAGATTCGGTGGTTCAAGCTCGAGGTAGAGACAAAGTGGAAGGATCGAGTCGAGAGTGACGTTATTACGAGTTGTATAGTAATCTCTCTGCATCAGCGATCGTGTCTGCGATCTACGCCTGTTCCGAGCGACGCCTTCGTCCAGGACCGCCGGCGTAGTTCGCCGCCGCGAGCCCCATCAAGTGTTTCGCCGACTGAGAACCGCTGAAGCCACGACTGAGACCCAGATCCAATCCTCGCTTGGTGCTGCGGACGTGCCCCGATTGGATTTATCACGTTACCATTTGACTCGACCATCTTAGTAAGGGCCTTGCTCCGAGAAACACTCGTTCCTCGGGAAACGCAAAAAGCATCCGGACACCGTCAACGTAACTAATATATAAAAGCCAGACATCTGATCCTATCGCTGCTCTTATATCAATTGATTCGAACCAAGTCTCTTCTATATACGAATGTGTGTCGATGTAAAAAAAGGACACGTACAGTGAAAATCCATTATCGACATTTTTTAAATAAAGCCCTTCCTAAAATGAGCGGTCCATTTATAACTCGTGGAATTAAAGGCAAATAAAAGAGCCACCACACGCTACGGAAGGAATACCAACGGAAAAATAATGTTCTCAATATAGAGCGCTCGAAGCGCTTAGGGGGGGCAAGTTTCCTTTTGAAATGCTCTCTATTGTACCAAAGTTTCATTTCAGATTCAACTTTTATTAGTCAACTTTTTTTAATAAGCTTTTTGGAAATCAATCCCATCAAACGTATCGTAAAAGCAACAAATAATACAATGCATAAGGATGCTTTTCACACACACACACACACACATATATATAATATATATATAAAAGGAAAATTAATGTTTTTAGGCATGCTGGATATTGATACATTACAAATTATGCATTCTAACATTAAGAGATCATCGTAATGTTATCTTACTTTTCCATCTCAGGGCGGCCCATGACAGTGCGAAGACGAGAGAGGAACTCTATGAAGTCTTCTCGATCTATGTCATCCGGCTGATCCCAATAACTTTCGTGGTTGCGTGCGCGGCGATAAAATTAGAATTGATCGATTACTTTAGCCGCGCAAATCGCGCGCAGCAATAAGCATTAAACGACGGCACGAGGAACGCGCGTAGGAAGTATAATTTAACTGAGAACATGGTCGGAAAGTGTGGCCAATATTTACGATCTATGTAAAGTTTTATCTCTGTGAGAAAGAGGCTCTGGGAGCACAAATGGACGACGGCGCGAGACGGTAAAAATATGGCTGGCAAATATAATTCAGGGACGGCGTTAATAGGTACGCCTGCATGCAATTCGAAATTGTCGCCCGACAATCCTTCGCGATTGTCGGAAACGTCGTTCGGCGAGTCATTTCAGTAACCGGGAGTCCTTTCTATCGGCTGGCGTGTCGTCAAGTGAGAACTGGGTTAAACTGTTCGAGCAGACGCATTTCTGCTCCTCGTCTCCAATATTTTCATTTAATTGTAAATACGCGCTCGCGAGCAATTGCAATTTGCATTGACGCCGCGAGTACACTTGAAAATTAATTTTCGGCGTCGTAAATGTTGTTGAATACAACTATATCACGACGGCGCGGCGCGCGGCGCTAAAAGATTCACCGACAGCTCTTCCATCAATAATGTTAAATTCACATTTTTGTAGGATATATAAATCTTTGAAAAGAGAAAAAGCATGAACGAATGAAAAACTCACGGGCGTTCTATATGTGTCACTCGATATGGGACTCATTAATTTTTATAATGCTCTAATATTACTCGTCGATATATCCTTTTCTTTCTCCCTTGCTATTTGATTTAACGTAAGATTTATATTACCTATGCGGTGTTGCGTCGGCTGTGAGACTCGAAATCGCGACGACGACTACGAACGTCAGTAGCGTGCACAAGACGGTCATCTTTGGCTGCATCTAAAACAAAGTAACAAGTTACAATAATTAATCGTATAATTATAATCGTCAACGATAATGTGCACAAGAAAATGCTGTTAAATTTAAAAAATTCAGTTGCTTGAATTAAACATTAACGTCACGGGCTGCCACAAGCACAAATCATTCACTCAATTGTATCTGCTATAAATTTTAATTGTAAGCATTGAACTGAATATCCAGATTATTAAGATAACTATCTGGTATCTTTTTTATTCGTTAATACTGACGTTGTTTCAACGATTTTATTTCAATTACACATCTTGATACATCATTTTTTCCCGCGTATCAAACGGACGTTTGTAAAATAATTTGGACGCGCGACACAAAAATCAGAACGATGATGCGCTTTTATATAAATGTTAAGCGCAGCTATCCGGAGCTCGTCCGGAGATCTACATTCCTGCATTACAGAATAGTGTCTGGCATCCCAGGCGGTCACATTTAGCGTTAACTTTGACGGTAAATGAGATTAAAACGCGTGAATGCAAAGCTACGTGTTCGCGCGCGTCATTGCGTAATATTTAATCCTGCGGTACTCTCTATCGGACTACTCCGCCATTGGGTTACTATCTCCAGTATGATTTCGTGGAAAATACGACGATATATCAATGAGCACGTTTCATGCATACGCGGATTAAAGAGCAGCAAGTCTCGGGAGAGAAATGTTCCTGATTGCCAGCAACTTCACTACTGCAGCGGGTTGGACACCAAATAGCTGTCTCGAAACACTTGTGCAATTTCATTTTCGCGGAAGTCTAACTTGACGGAGCAAAATTCTGCCAGAGTACGAAACTTGCTCGAATACGCGACAATAATTGTGACGGTGGCTGGCGAAGGGACACGTAAAGTAGATCCTGTTTCAGAAAAATACATTTGAAGCTTCCATTAGCAGTTGACAGGACGGCAGGAATTGTATATAATAATATTTCTAAATATTTTGCTTGACAAAAGAGAAGAGAGGAAGGAAAAGAAAGAGGAGATAGAATAGGAAATACACGTGGAAGACATGGGAAAACTTTACATATATTTTATCAAAACAGCATCCCTGCCGCCTGCTCAGCCACCGTTTGTTAGTTTAGGATAACTTCTTGTATAAATATGCAACCGTGCACTCTGCTGACCTCACATCGCCAGACATAAGGATGAGAAAAGACTGCCAGGCGAAAAACAATGTTTACTAAAAAGATGATAATTCGCCCGTGTGTTTTCGAAAGCAAAATTCTCAGACACTTTCTCGAAATGTTATTACATTTTCGTCGCGTCGCGATAAACGCGGCAAGCGACCGTTGGTCAAACGGCGGTCGATTTATCTACATTTATCGCATTTTAGTCGAGCGGTGCGAACATTGTTCCCGAAACCATTGTGGGCGGTGTCTTCGCGTATCTTCCAAAGTATCTTTCAAGACGAACGGCGAAAAGTTCGCCGTTGAATGAAACGCCGAGTAAGGCGGCAAGAGGGATGAGAGCGCGGGGGCGGTGGTTGAAGGCGCGAAAGACGAAACAATGGCGCCCTCCGGAATATGGAGAAAAGTTTGCGCGTTCTCGGCTAACAAACTATTCAACTCGCGAGCCACGAGGAACGTCCCGCCGTCATCCGACGGTAATGTGCACGGGTAGAGGCAGCTTTCTCGTTCTGCGGAGTTAACAGCGCAGTCACACAACGGTAACGTTGCAGCCGTGGATTTAGAACTGCCGTGTGATCCGTAAATAGAACGATCTCTGGCTCAATGACGCGGACTATCTATAATAATATCCCACGTTGGCCCATTAATAATTTCATCATAAATGTGCATTAGCAATATGAGAATCTTAGACGAGATAATTAGAGTGGAATGGAGATAAAAGCTAGCAACTAACTGGGTCGTTACTTTCAATTTTGAGGCTAAGCAATACCGCAGCAGATCTGCGTGATATCATATCTTAAAATGCACTAAATGCAGCAAGCATTTAGACTCTATCTGTAATCAAAATTCTTATTTTACCTTTCTATTTTTTTATCTCTGAATTTTGCACGAATTTTGTAGAACACTTCCCTCTCTATCTGTCCCTTTGATATTTATTCAATCAGCATTTTATTGCGGTATAATCAGAACTCGCTTTGAATAGTGCCTTGTAGTATGGGTGGATAATTGGATTCGCCGTTCGCAATAATTGGTAGCTACGGACTGATATTCCATATCCACGTATTTATTTTCGCCCGTGAAAGACGACGCGTTTATGCTCCTGTGTCGTACAACGTTATTTCTCTCTTGGAGTACGCCGAATCCAAGTTATTATATTACACGTATAATTATGCGCGAAAATAGCTTTCGCACCGTTTTGTTATTATAAACGCGCATTTGTTAAAAGTTTGACGAATATCCCGGTGCATTGAGTTCGTAACTTATTGAATTCGCATCCTTCGTAAATCGTAACCATACGCGCACGTACAAAATCCGGGGAGCCTTTCGAAAGCCGTCACTCCTGTTAATCCGCATTTATGGTTGATCGCAGACAAAATAAATCTCCATATTTCTTAAGTTATGCGGTTTCCCAAGTCATTTCTCCGCCCGTAATGTCCATTGAATGGATCGTTTCCACACTTTAATTCCATACGCACAACATTGAAGGCAAACAGAAGACAGAAAGACGCGCTGTGCAGAGTTAACGTTTCGAGAACACTTAAAGTTTGCGTTTAATTTTCCCCGGTTGCCATTAATGCAGATTAGACGACTCTGGCGCCGTCGCCTTCGCTTTACTGTACCCGGGAGAAGCCGCGAGCTATAAATCTACGTAATTTCGTCAAATTTATCGTCCCCCGACTTACTTAGGCGTAGCCGGCGTGCGCCGAACGAGGTGGGCAAGATAAATCAAATCATATCTTGAAAAAAAAAGCCACGTGGCAACGTAAGAGTATGCTAAGTATATCGCGCGGCTAACGTCGTTAGTCCCCGACGTAAAAATTTATTTTCCTAGAAAACACGTTCCCGATAATTGTTCCCGGCAGCGCGGCCGTAACCGCGGGGCGAATCTAATAACGCGATAATCGAGTTTCGATCCAGAAACTGTACTTGCGATCGTTCAGTCTTGCGCGATCCCGCCGCTTTTTCCCCGCCTCCGTCTTTGCGTGCCGAAGGGCTTTTATTTCCCGCCCGTCTACGGAGCTAAGTAATCGCGCGCTTCGCCGAAAAATATTTGCTCGCCATTAGGAGTGGCGCAAATCTTACGGTATGTAAATATCATAAAATTATTTAGAAGAGGATGTGTCTTTATACCAATTTTTGAAAAAAGGTACCGTCGGTATTTCTTGGCAAAAATTCGATCCGTCGTTCTTTGCGCATTTCTCTTTCTTATTAATTTTTTTTTATTCGTACATCGATACCGTTCGGCATTATTGAGTCTGTGTCAAAATGAAGAACGTCGACGATCTGACTACGATGCAAAAGATATATTTCTGAAGCAGCGAGGCGGTAATATACAGGGGAAAAAAGTCAATTTCAATTCCGCGATGCGCAACCGACCGCACAAATTATAATACGATTAAGTCGTCTCATCTTTTAATTTGTTGTATCGAATCCATTTCGTTATTAAATGTTCGTTCCTCTGTAATGAAATATGCGCCGCGGTAGAACGAACGAGTTCCACACTTAGCTTTAAACTCGACTTAAACTCGACAATAACAGTATTATTCTATCCACTTTCGAAATCGATTCGATTTGTGGCAGCGATCGTTTTAGCTTCCGAACGAGGCGGCCGTCAACATTGTTAACGATTCTTTCTTTACTACTCGTATAACGTGCGTGGTATCGTGGTGGATGACAAAATCCGGGCACGCATGGTGATAAGAGCCACGCATGGCTAAATCCGAATGAGCGGCGATCGCTTATCATAAGCGCTGTTCCGAGCGATTATTTATAGAATTTTGGGCGACATCGGACAGTTTCAGCTGAGCAGGCGAAAGTTAATGCGCAACCATTTTGGGACTTCATCTCGTATGATTGGTTTCACAAACATAATAGAATAATCTCTTGTGATGCAACGTCTCTGTTTTTTTTTGTCGTCTAATTATCTCACGTCTGCAAGTCCAATATTTTTTATACTCTTCGGAATTGCGTGCAAATTATTTCTATTTATTTAATACGATTTATTATGGAATATTATAGAATTATTTAAAGTGAATTTTTAATTCAAATATATGATTAATTAACTTGCAATTCGTATTAAATTAGAATTCGTAATAAATTTTTAGTTTTTGTATTATTAATTAAATGCCAATTAATTACGCTTGACTCTCAAAGCCCACTTTTCGTTTTTGATTGCTTATCATCATCATATTTGCACAACCTATGACATTTTCTTCACAGTACTCATTTAATTTCGCTTTTATTCGATCGACGTAAGGCTAAAACTATGGAAAAAGTCGCGGCGTTAGCAATTTCGTGACGGAAACTTTTGCCGATGTACGTGACAGTTGCGTCTTTTTCATGAAATGTTTCCACAAAGCGCGATAAAGTAGCAACTAATACAACCGAGGCCGATTCTGCAACACATTGTCCGCTGTCGTAACTTCGCCGACATTGTAGATGCATTTAAATGCATTCTGTAGTTATCGCGACGGTGTATCGTACACGCGGTGCATTTACCCTGTACTCGCCATACTGGAATACGAAAATAAAACATAAACGCGATTTGCGAGACAATGCGATGACGCACAATATGAAAGCCCGTCGTCGCGCCGGCGGACACGGTTAATCTCGCAAAAATTGAGCTGTAAGAACATTATCGCGAGCCGATACGATGCAGATTGCGCTGTTTGATCAGCCTCGTGTCGAAGAATTGTATTTTGGAACACGTTTCTCATAAATTGCTCTCGAACAGGATATCTTGTTTAAATACGTGAAGCAACGTAGCAATTTTGCATACTTATTACTTTTACACGCTACAAGAAGTTATGAAATTATTTTGTTGTGCGAATATTCTGTATTTATGCGCTCGCTATG